CATGGTTTCGTCCAGGTGGCCGTTGACCCCCTCCCCCAACGCTGTGAATTTCTTAGCTACACGAATCTGAAGTGCGTGCTGAATTATATGGTTCAGTTGCATAAATCAAGTTGTTCGAAACTTGTGTTCTTAAGATGTGCAGAAGCTTTGCAGAGTTTATAGTACGTAAGCTTTGAAGGCACCGCAAATGGACATGACTGCTTAGAACAAAGCAATACGGGTTCCCGTACAAATGGAAGATCGTGAATTTGTGACTTCAAGCTAAAATGCACGAGAATTGGGTAGAGTGGAAGGAAGTAGACGACGGCTTTCACAGTTTCGAAACAGAAATACCGAACAAACTTTAATACCAGGTACGAATCCATGAATATCAGACAATTCCCTTTGGTATTTCTTCATTTTAATAAGGTGTATTCAATGAGTTTCTTTGAGGGATCAAACCTTGTAGATGTCTTCTGTCACAAAATGACCATTGTTTTCCACGTGAATGATGATGTCCTTCATTATATATTGATCACGTTTCTTTTAGCAGATGTTCAACTCACGAAGGTTTGGTTTTGTAGGAGCATGACACTTCAGATGTCTCTAAAGCAGTAGTTCCAACTCTAATTAGTTCTATTGCTTTTTAAGAGGTCAAATGATATACTCTGTCATGCGAACCTCATTCGTACTCTTTTGAGAATTAATCCTAACCTCAGTCGTGTTTGTGATATGTTTGTCTTTCTTCTGGACGATGCATGAATCGCTCTCTCAATATGCTGTTGCCAATTTATTGTTCGTCGATCTTCTTGGAATTCACGACAGACCTTCATGATTATCATAGCATCTAGAAAAGCATATTTACTATACACTGTCCTGAATAGTAATCGTAAGTTGATATCTGCAGATGTCTGCAAATTTGCTTAAAAATATATTTTGAGAGAATGTGGCAAAAAGACTTTGTTACGTTCCATTAAGAGACGAAAATGCAGGTGGTAGTTGTAATTTCCTAGATCGAATTATGTTCAAAACAAAAATGAGAAAACTTTTCATATTGTCTTATTCATTGCCTCATTTTCGAACCGTTTTGAGGTTCATGGCTAGAATTTACAGTTATTGAGAACGAGCTTCGGCTGGTCATGCCATCCTTTACTTTAAAGATTCTATTCTTTCCCTGACGAGAATTTCCCAACAAAATTTGCCAAAGGTTTCAGATGTAGTAGTGAATCTGAGTTCTGGTTTGTTTAAAGCTATCAATGACACTGCTCAAAAACGTCTAAGACTAATGAGGAAAAGTTGACTCGTCCAGCGGTTTCTCATGATTCTTTTGCAGTATCTCATAACTACGATAAAGAATGCACCTCTAAAGATTCACGACGAAATACTTGATTGTGAATGGAAGGATTTTTTTCATTTATTTATTTTTTCTTTCGGTGAAACTGTTACTAACTTAAAGATTTACGAATGGTCCATGAGTTTCGCTTGTGAACTACAACAAACTGGAACCATTACGTAGAGTACGGCCTGAATGAAGATAAGCTCATAATTCATAGAGTCTAAGAGTCCCATTGTCTATTATTTTGCTTTTCGCCTGGTCTTCCATTTGTCATTCGGTCTGATCCTCAAATTTTCACGATGAGAAATGCAAGCCAGCGAACAGAGCGTGGTTTTCAATAACGACAAGCACATCATTGAAACGGCCTCCTGAACTTTCTGTCTTTACAAAATTGAATTGATGGATAAATGTGTAGTTTAAATGCTGGGTGGAGTATTTGATTCGTATAATAGTAGTCGTTCTTCAAAAACAGCACAAAAACTGTTTATTAATACTCAAGGCAACATAATCATTTATCTTATGATATACTGATACCAGTGTTAAAGCCCATATCTCACAGGTTTAGTTCAATATGAACCAGTTGTCTCTTGGCTTGGCTTCAAACAAACCATCTCCTGCAGACGTTTCAAGCAATTACTGAAAATCGTTACTGATATAGCTTGAGGCAGGTTCATGAGATACGGGCCGAAACACATCCACGTGTCTATCATCTGATAAACGACTATATTCCACTGTTTGTTAACGAACCATTGCTGTGCTGTTTTTAATCTTTATACTCTCTGATCTACAAAAGAATTGAATGCCTCTGATTCTGTTGAAGCATTCGATACGGCTGGCATACTTTTTTTGTACTGTATTAGGAGTCGAAATAGTTCGAATGGCGTTCAGCACATTTCATAACTCGCAACTGTCTTCATGAATATTTTTCATGCGACTTGTCCTTGTGGTGAACTCGTCAAGATCGCAAATCGACACTCCTCTGATCTTCTCCAGTCTTCAGAGTTTTATTTCGAGTGGATGCAACCGCTGTGAGCTACAGGCGGTTTCCCTAAATTTGATCTGTTCTAACAGATTCAGAATGGTGAAATATTTTGTGAGATTTTGGTGACTGGCGAGTGACGAGTCTCAAGCCGTCTCTATCTACTGCAGTGGGCTCTTAGCCATTTGCAGGCCCTCAATTTAATAGGAGTTCATAAAGAACAGTGATAAATACTCTATCAAAAATAGACGATATTGAACTTTATTCTTTTTCCTTGCCTGTCGGTGACTTTTGGCTACCACTGTGCCAGGAAAATACAAAACGTGTGAGCACATCATAATAGAGGTAGACCTGCTTGTAACGAGCGATATGGCTTCTACCTACCCGCTGCAGAAAAGGGCAACTGATATGAATCTAAGGAAACTTTTTGAAGCTGGTGATAAATCAGCACAGTAACCTAGATTTTGGAATACTGACCGTTAGA